AGTGATCCCTGCCCCAAGCCTGGAGTAAACCACAAGCACCACTGAGCTCCAACCTCCCACATCCCCACCCCTAAATAAGAATCACTCAGAACAGAATAGTATTCTCTGAGGACCTGCTGTAAAAGAAAGAATTTTGTCACATTTTAAAAAATACTTTAAAAAGTTCCACTTGAATTTGATCACTTTTGAGGGTGTTGGGACCCCCAAGCAGGGTTCTGGAGGCCCAGGGCTTCCACCAATAACAGTTGGCCAGAGGTTGGCGGTTCAGTGCCAGGGCCTGAGGATGCAGTGCTGTTTGTGCCCTTTGGTGCTAACTGGGATTTCTCCCCTGTGTTGTTCTGGGGTTATTCGATAGCACAATGGTAGGGCATTTGCCTTGCATGCAGCTGGCCCAGCCGACCCGGGTTTGATTCCTCCGCCCCTCTCAGAGAGCCCAGCAAGCTACCGAGAGTATCTCGCCCACGATGTATTCGATATGCCAAACACAGTAACAACAAGTCTCACAATGTTAATGGGCCCGCTCAAGGAAATCGTTTAACAGCCAGAGGACTGTTCTACGGTGCTACAATTGCTCTGGGGTGTTAGGGCCTGTCCCGTGCTGGTTGGGAGAACAGATGGGTCTGGGCACTGAGCCTGGGCTGGCAGCATGCAGTACCTTCACCCCTGTGCAAAATCAGCGTTTGGGTTTGAGTTTTAGTGGAAATGTTGTAGTTTTTCTATGTAGGCCTGAAAGAGAGGATTTATGTATGAGTTAATGTTTGATACATAATCACGGTCACAGTCCTCCTGTTGTTCATCAGTTTGCTTGAGCCGTCCCAGTAACGTCTCCATCATGAGACTTGTTGTTACTGTGTTTGGCATATTGAATTTGTCACAGGTAGCTTGCCAGGCTTTGCCATGTGGGCGAGATACTCTCGGTAGCTTACTGGGCTCTCCCAGAGGGGCGGAGGAATTGAACCTGGCTCGGCTGGGTTGACGGTGCACAAGGAAAATGCCCTACTGCTGTGATATATAATAATTTTATCCAATATTTTACTGACCTGTTGTTCAGTAATTATCTTGTTCAGTTATACAGTATTATTATTATTGTCTAGAGTAAAACTAATATTTTAAAAAACTTAGATTTTAAAGTATTGGGGCCAAAGTTACATATTTTAATGTGCAAGAAATAATTCATTCAGTGCTCTAAGCAGTCACTTTATTATTTGATTGCTTGCAAGTAGTAAGAAAAGCTAGAGTATTTTTTAATATTTTGTCCTTATGCAGTTATAAGCATTGTAATGAAAATAAAATTTGTATTTGAAATTCAATTTTAAAATTTTTCAATGTGTTTGGAAGTTTAACAATAGAAATCAGTGTTGCTTTTGAACAGAATATTAAAATAAATCTTTTTTTTTTTTTTTTTTGGTTTTGAGGTTACGCTTGGCAGTGTTCAGGGATTAATCCAAAGTGGTGCTTAGGATTTATTCTTGCTCTGTGCTCAGGGCTTTCTCCTGATGGGGTTTGGGGGACCATTTGGGGCCCCAGAGATTGAACCCGGGTCAGCCACACGCAAGGCAAGTAGCCTGCCTGCTGTCCTATTGCTCCAGTTCCATTTCTTATTTCCTACTAAGAAATCATTCTCAGCACAAATCTGTTGAAATATCTTAATCTGTATGCGTGTAACATAAAAGCAGCCGAATTAAAATTTATATACAACTCTTACTGTGAAGTGATTCCAGTAATTAATGTGCTAAGTACAGTAGGTAGGTACTATTCAGTTTTCACACTGTTTTTAATTAGTGTATATTTTGATAGGTAAAATACCTAACTTGCTTTCTAGAAAATTGTTCTTTAATATGCCTCTTGATGAGAACAGTAAAAAGGCTTCACATGTTTAACTTTTTAAAAAGGCTAATAATTCAATATTCTTGCTTTTAAATGTATCAGAAAAGGCCGTAGAATGCTTTTTCTTCTAATTTCATCAAAATTAAAAACGCCAGCTTTTTAATCCATTGTGAGCTTTACTATTGTGATGACTTCTTATAACATGCTGCATTTTTAAAGAACTTTTAGAACTGTATATACTGTTCCTTTGTGACTAAGGCTAAAAAAGCCACAAAACCTTCCCTCTCTTTATTTTATTTTATTTTTTGTTTTTGGGGCCACACCTGATAGTGTGTGGCCCAACTCTTTGCGTGTTTCCCTATCTATACAGAATTCATGTTCCTCTGTTACAGTTTTTGTATAACTCTTGTTTATTAGTTTTTTTCGGTCATCTGTTTTCCATTTGTTCTGCCCTTGTTCTCTTTTTACCCATTTATTATTATTTTTTGTTTTTAAAGGAAGTAGAAACATTTATTGGAAAGTAGAAAAGGAACTCCCCATCAGGAAAAGAACTTGGTATAGGACTAAATTAAGTAAAACTAATTTTGTGGGATTTTAAAGGAAAAGTGGGAAGGAACTTAGTATAGGACTAAAGTAAGGCTAGTTTTGTATTTTTTTTTTTTTTTTAAGAATACTGGGTCTTTGTGTTAAAGAGAATGCAAGGAAGTTAAAGATAAGGGATTTTGTGTGTGTGTGTGTGTGTGTGTGTGTGTATCCACTTTTAAATGAAAATTGAATTCTTTACATTCTTTTTTTTTTTTTTTTTGGCAAGAAGGTTACAGAGAATGCAAGGATTTAACAGATCCTTGTGTGGCCATTTCCTTAGGTATTGTCCATTATCCTAGGATGAGCCTAAACTCTGAGGCAGAAATTTTGTTGGATACTTGGTAACTCCCTATGTATCAAATTGCCCAGGAAGTTGACCTCAGGTTTCTTTCTTCAAGGCTTATGGCCATCACACTACAGATGATGGTTAGAGTGCAACCATGGATGCTGGTGACCGTATTGTGGACTGCCAGGGCTACCCCTTCCTAATAACACCTTGACTGAACTCTACCCCTGTGTGATGCCCCAAAGTCAGCCGATAAGTACCTGATTGTAATCAAGGTTTCATATTTGGGGCGGTGGCAGGGGAGAAGGAAGCCTCAGTTTCCCCTGCTAACTGCAGTGAGTAGTCTCATTTTTGACTGCCCCCATCTTATAACATCGAATACTTATTTATACAGTGTTTAATTTTATTTTAAAAATAATTTTCTATAATGGTAATTTATTTAACATGAAAATTATATGGTTTTGTTTGAAATTTATAGTTTTTTTTGTGTGTATGTCATGGTCACACCCATCAGTACTCTGGACTTACTCCGGACTCTGTTCTTATGGATCACTCCTGGTGGGCTCAGGGGACCATTTGGGGCACTGGGGACCCTGGTCAGCCTTTTGCAAGTGCCTGTCATACTCGGTCTCTGGCCCCCCAGTCATTTATAGTTTTGATGACCACAGTTGCTGCATCTCTCCTTCACCAGGAGTTTAGAACGTCTAACCATAGTCCTTAGGTTACTAGCCCATCTCATCATTTTCTTGTTTTTTCCCCTGAAGCTTAATTTCTTTTTTAAATTTTTATTTAAATATAGAAAAAGCAACAAATATTGATACAAATCAAGAATTAAAATGGATTAGATAAAAGATGCAATATTAAAATCAACAGGTATAGAAAATCCATTTATTTGATAACTGTTATATTTGCTTATAGGGTTAAGTCCATGTCTTAAGATGTTAAGAATATATTAAGCTGTTTTGTTTTTTTTTTCTTGCTTTGGGTGGTGTCATGCAGCCACGTATGTGGCCATGTGGTCTAGAGATTTCAGGATCCATGGACTGGACAGTGAATTTATATGATGGTGACTATGGGAAGTGGGCTTGGTTCCCGGGACTTTCAGAGGTACGGTAGGTGGGGGAGAGGCTCCCCACCCCAGCTCTGAAAGAATCAGCGTTCTCACCTGGGCACACGGATGCCTGACATTATTTGTATATTGGTGTCTCTGCAGAGAATATATGTGAAGTGTTGGAGTTGAGGCCTTTGCATGACTGTAGTGGTGGGGTGAGGGTGCTGAGCAGAGCTTCAGCTGCCCGGGGGTTCAGAGTGTTCAGCCATGGGGACTGGTGATTCCATAAATTTTAGTTGCCTGGCCTGCATCTCCTGGGAGAGTTGGTTGGGAATAGGTGGGAAAGGGCTGGTATGTAAGTCAGCATGGCAACAGCTGTAGGAGAACCTAGTCTCATCATTTTCTCCTGCCTTCTTCCCCTGCTTGATTACTTCAGTTCTGTAATCCAATGCCAAGGGTTTATCATTGTTCCAATCTGTTTCTTTTTTTGTTGCTCACTCACAGATGAGTGAACTCATCTGATACCAGCCCTTTCCTCTGACTTGTTTTGCTTATCAAGATTCCCTGCAGGTCTCTTCGTGTTTCAGCAAAGTACCTGATTTTACCTTTCTATATAAATGCATATTATTCCATTCTGTGTATGCGTGTACATGTGTGTGCCCAGGCATAAAAGAAAATATTGTGACTTCGCATATAAAAGTTTGCATATGTTTATTTCTTATGTGGAAATGTTTATTGTTTCTCTCTGTTTTTCAGAATAATTATAAACATTTGTCCCTGTAATTAGTATTTATTTTTAGAAATTCAGTTATATAGAGATTATTTTTTAAATTGATCTAATCTGTTAGTGCAGCTAGGTTTCGTTGATAAAATGTGGTTGTAATTACTTTGCAATTATTTTTTAGGTATGACTTACTCTTAAAAAACTAAGGATACATTTTATTTTTAATCATGTCAGTAATACATATCTTCCTTATGTTGACTTAGTAAATAAACCAGAAAGAATTAAAATAGTGTCAGTATCAAATTGTCTCAGGAGAATTGCCCAGAGGGCCAAATTAATATGAAATGTAAATAAAAGGTAGAATGTAAAAAACTTGGAATGTAGAGTGAAAAAATATGGATGGATTTTAACTTAGAAAACATGAAAAATTTTTTAAACGTTTGTCGTGGTATCCTTTGTGACTTGTATGATATTTAATTTTTGTTGTAGTTTCTTTCTAACATGGAGTTCCCCATCCGTCTCTCTAGGCTATCCACTCTGTTGCTTGGCATCATGAAGGAAAACAGTTTATTTGTAGTCATTCCGATGGCACCTTGACCATATGGAACGTGAGGTCCCCTGCCAAGCCTATGCAGACAATCACTCCACATGGTAAGAATGGATTTCTTTGAAAACCTACATCCATTCTGATGAGCTGTGTACTTTTGTTGGAGTTTGGATTTGTTTATCTGTTCTTGACAATATGAAAGTTTTTTATTTTGTTTTGAGATATTAAAATATACATATAATGTGTAATCACTGGGATTGCATCTCACGTTAATTATATTCGTAGTTAATATTTCAAATTTGAGCTTAGAGAAAAATGAATGCTTCATTATCTTCTGAATATTGTTTCTCTTATAGCTCAAAAAATAATTTTGTAAGTGATATAAGGACTTACTCAGATTTCTGTCATATCAGAGTTTCTGGTTGCAAGTTCTTTCTGTCTAGCAACATAACGTATAATATTTATATATAATAACAGAGTATTGGAATTCTTCAAACTATAAACTTCTAAAAGTAACTGTCTACTCTTTGGGTTTTCTGAATTCCTAGAGCCAAGAGGGTTGGGGGGCCTAGGATTTAAAGGAATTCTTCAGAGTACTCTCAAGATTAGGGACCAGGATACTAATAGAAGAAAGAAGACAGTGTTAAAAACTGAAGCCTACAATTTCAAGAACAATTCTCTGAATGCATGCATAAATAAGCTTGTAGCAAATTAAAGCATGGGCTTTTCCAGACGATGATGCTAACCAAGTATTCCACAATATGTGGCTTCAAGCATTCTTATTTTCACCCAGAAAACATAAAGTCAGTTTGGTTTTGAAATTTTTAGACTGTGGTAATCAGACTGTAGCCATCTTTTCACAAAATGGTCTGCCTGCTTTTCCTGTGGGAGCCTGAAGTTTGCTCAGCGGTGAAGCAGAGTGCCCCCAGACGGGCTCCAGTACAAACTCTGACCATCTGGCCTCAGGTGTGCTTCCTGGTAGATGGCATTTCAGGAAGTTCGCTCTTTACTAGCCCAAGTAAACTGGTTGGATTGCTCCAGGAGAGGATGCCCGGAGTCACGAGCCCTGTTCCCTCACACTTCCCACAGCTGCCCCACCCACCCTGTGCTGGTTATCAGCCTTCCACCTGCCTGCCGAGTCCTTTCGTCCCAGGGTATCACTGAACCCTCTCACATCTAAGAACAAATCTAGCACTGAAGCTTCTAGGAAGGGATTATATTAGTTTTGCACTTCTAAATTAAGGTAAATTTTAATTTTTTTTTCTATTAGCATGTGTTAACTTTGCAAAATAAATTGTTAACATAATTTCAAATAACCTCTGATTATTCCAATATCTATTATTAAATTTTGATTTTGTTTATGCAGACGCACCCAGTGGCTATCAGGGTGCACTCTAGGTGGTCCTCAGGGAACCACATCTGGTGCTGGGGATCAAACCTGAGCCAGCCACATACAGGGCAAGTGCCTTAATCCCTGTACTATCTGACCAGTGCTCCAGTACCTACTTTCTACAAACAACCAGATTCTTCTTACCACATTTTATCTAGATTTAGAAGTAGAGATTAGATTCATTATTTCTTTAGTCTGCTTCAAACTGGAACAGCTCTGGAATCTTTTTTTTTTTTTCAGAAATAACAAATTTTGATGATTATAATCAATTATTTCATAGAAAGTGCCTCTGTTTGTTTTTTTTTCTTGATTAGATTAAGATGAGCCATTTTAGCATTGGTGTCCCTAAAGGACTCATATGTTCTTTGTGCATCTTCTCAAGTAGAACTTGTTTAATTTGTCCTGGATTGGTGATCTCTTATAATTTGATTCCTTGATTAAGCTTCTCTACTAGGTTTCTCCATTATGATGTGATTTTTTTTTTTCTGATGGAATAATACTTCCTGTGTATTTGAAGTCAATAGTTATTTTGATTTGAAGGAGCAGCAGTGAGGCTGTAAACATACTGTTTCTCTTCAAACTTTTAACCTCTGGTTTTAACATTTGTGGCTGAATTATTACTGTGATAATTAACCAGGTGATGTTTATTCTATTTAATCTTAATACCCTTTTCATTAAAAACAAGTTACATCTTTGAGAGAAGATTTTCAGAAGTGAAACAGGTTTCTGAATTTGTAATTTCTAAGCAAAAGTAGGTTACAAGCTAAAGCAAATAAAAGGATATTTTTTTTTAACTTAGAAACCAACCAGAAGTAAAATAATTTTTTTATGGTACTTAGCAACAGATAGGGTGACATACGTCACCCAGTACAGCAGCCTAAATACCATCAGAGATGATAGTCCTGGTGGAGAATTAAAACTTCCCTTTATAAAAGAAACAAATATTTTCAAAAGTAAAGGTGTTTACTACTAGTGGTAGGTAACTCGTCAGAGTTTATTTTATATTTATATTTATAAGGCAAAAATAAATGCATTTTTATATACAAAAGGAGAAATTATGTTCTCCATGCTGTAACAACGGTCATATGTATGTTATATATATTATCTAATTTTTGGCCTAATAATTATATATTTTACTGAACTGAATTTTTTCCCCTCATCACTGTCACCTGTAAAGTCTATTTTTCTTATTTTCTGGCAAAGTTAGAGTTATTGACTTTTAATGTACTAGACTTTGGGGCCAGAGATATAGAACAGGAATACCTACAGTGGACTTGGCTAACCCTCATTTGCTCCTGAGCACCACATATAAGTCCCCTGAGTACCAATAGGATTGAGCACGGTCAGATATGGCCCCGAAGCCAAAAAAGTAAAAATAGAAAATAGAGGAAAATAAGTTCAATGTATTAGACTTTTAAATTTGTTTCTATTCTTTTAAATATTTAAACCCATTTAATAGTTAAGCAATATAAGTAGTGTCTCATGGTAGTCAGGACTGACAAATATTTAAGTGCTTGCAAGTATTTTATTGTGGCTTTTAGTGTTAAGAATAGTTTTAGATGTTTTTGAAGAATCTGTTCAAAAGTCATAATACAAAGTCCTAAAATGGAGTTTTGGCTCTGTAATTTTGGAGAAAGTGAGTTGAAATTTTGGAATTTTACTATGGGATAAGTCATTGTGAAAAGTTTTTACTCTGTGAAAAGTCTATACCTTTGTTCAAATAAACCAAATGTAAGTGACAATGCTTAGAAAGAGGAATATGCTAGATATAAGTGACAATAGATAAAAGCATTGATGTGTTAATTCTATACCATAATTGGTATGATAATTCAATATGATAATTGGTACAGGACAGCTGAATTTTAGATTATTTTCTTTTACATATATTGAATTTCTTACTTTAAAATGTTATTTGGTGAAAAATATTTTGATCAAGAACTTTTGGAAGTCACAATTCAGTTGAGCATTTTCTTAAGGTTTTCTTTACTCTGTCAATCTCCAAACTAAAAGGATATATGCTCATATATGTGTTTATACTTATTACTTGTATGGGCTTACATGTTTATTCTATGTGGCTTTTCAAAAACCTGTTTGACTTCAGTATTTATTATTCACAGAACCTCTGGTATTCTATGAAGTGTGCTTTGGGGAGCATTGGCCAAGTGCTTGTAATAGAATTGAGGTATGGGACAGTTCTCCAGATTTGTTGGCTATGTTCAGTTATTACTGTTGACTGGCATTTTTCATTGAGGCTAGTTGATAACAGACTGAGGAGTATAGAAGTTTCTAGAGAGTAATGAAAGAATAACAAGACAAGAAGAAATCAGTTTATGATCATTCCCTGATATGTAGGGTAATTTAACTACATAGATCAAGGTGGCTGTAGGTTATACTTTTCCAGAAAGTTTTCATTTGTGTATTTGAAATTATTCAACAGGGTTTTTTTTTTTTTGACAAACAAGGAGTGATCGTTCCTTTAATCGGTTTGCATGAAAATTTAACAATATTTTCATGGCATTCAGATAACATGGAATATAATTGCAGTTTTATAATATGCAGAATACCTCATAGAGAAAATTGCTATTCTCTGGAACTTCTCATCATATGTAAAATCTCAGATTTCATGGAGTTATTTTTTAAGGTATATAGCTTTTTGATTTCCTGGAAATCAAACAATATTTGATACTGTATTTTGACTGCAAAGATTTTAGTCATTCGTAAATTCTATATTTCTGTATGGAGAATATAGGGAATATGTTAAGCTTCTATATCTTTTGCTCTATTTTGCCCCTGTGATGGATAGGTGAGAGTATCTCGCCCGCACGGCAGAGCCTGGCAAGCTCCCCGTGACGTATTCGATATGCCAGACACAGTAACAACAAAGTCTCCAATGGAGATGTTACTGGGCCCGCTCTAGCAAATCGACGAACAACGGGAGGGCCTTTACCTTTTACCTTTAAGAAGGAAAGAACTTTGATTGTCGAGGCAGGGCTGACTTGCCTACACTCAAGCAATCATGGGTAAGTGATTTGCTGGCCCAGGGCCTTAAAAAAAATCTCTTTCGTAAGTTGTGTCTCTGAAGATGAGGAAGGGAGAAGTGGTGATAGTATATTTGTGTATGTGTGTGTGTGTGTGTGTGTGAGAGAGAGAGAGAGAGAGAGGGAGAGAGAGAGAGAAAGAGAGAAATAGAGAGAGAGAAAGGAAAAGGAGAAAGAGGCAGAGAGAGGAGAGAGAGAAAGGAAAAGGGGAAAGAGGGAGAAAGAAAGAGGAGAGAGAGAGAGAGAGAGAGAGAGAGAGAGAGAGAGAGAGAGAGAGAGAGAGAGAGAGCAAGAGTGCGTGCTGCCAAGCAAGATTTTCTCTTACTGTTTTTTTCACCAGAATAGGATGATTCTCAAAGGAAATGGAAATTCTAGACAGACTTATCAATAGTATCCACTCTCAGAGCTGAAATTTAAAAAAAATTCTGGAGCTTTTCTATCAGTTCAACCAATCCACTTATCTAAGAACAAACCAAGATTGGGAATTTTTATTCTATTGAGGGTTGCTGAAAGAAAAATAAAATCAAGGTTCACATAACTTAAAGCCAATTTAATACCTGAAAGCAAGACTGTACAGGGAATTTTATTATTTTTTTAATACTTACTAAAGCACAAAACATTTAATAAATATTAAAACCATACTTCAGTTTGATATATAGTTAAAGTTTATACATTT